CAATAACCTTCATATAAACTCATTGTCTCTGTCGAATGAGACGCTTGACGAAGTGATAAAGGAGTGGAGAGTGAACCAAATAATCTGGCAGGCTGCTTCGCTGCACAATTCTGATTACATCGACAAACAACCTTTTACCAAAAGAGAGGATCTGACTATACGTGACCACCGACTAACCAATCAGAAAATAAATGTCATGATGGTTTATGTGCGAAAACCAAAACGACCGCAAATGTATGCGAAAAAATGTATCGAAAAATATGAGGATCGTGCCACAAGAGTATAGAAAAATCATGTCACAAGGACAGACATGTTTATTCAAAGTTAAAAAGACTCAAGAAAAAACATAAAGACATAATATAAAAAATAAGAGAACTAATATTCCCCAGCAACTAACATTAAGATTATGCCGACGCTTGCTAAACAAAGATCAAAGGGAAAAAACGGCACAAAAATATTTTAAAAAATAGGTTGAGAGAAAAGAGAGGCATCTTACCTAGTATATTAATTCGAATGTTATCATTTCTTTTTGTTAATTTGATCATACTTTATAAAAATCATTTTTAATTAAAATTTATTGAAATATATACGCCTGTAATTTGTACTTAAAAAGAGAATTATATTTAACAAGATACTTATAATTGTGTGGTCAAACTTGTGACCACCTAAACTGATACTTAAAAATAGGTTGTAAAATATTGAGAACCCAAACTGTTTTTGAGGGTTAATTGAGCCGAGCCTCTCGTTCTTATAAGGGAAACTCCCCTCCTTCGTCCTTAAAATGAGAAGGAGGGAAGAGAGATAGTTGGGTGGTTGAAGACTGCAGGTGCTAGAGTAGGTATCCAAAGGGATCGCATTGATCCTTTTATTTTTCAACCCTTTCTTCCTCGGATCATGCTATCCCTCTGGATTCCTCCTTTGGTTGCTTCAAACCTAATTATCAGACTAACAGAACACCCGCACTTGGCCGCTGAACCATTCCAAATTTGGCATTAACGTCCTCCAAATCATGTATGTGTTCCCCGGTAATCAACTTGAATCAAATATCTTTGCCTTCACCTTTCTTTTTTGTCTTTCAAATCATGTAAGTGTTTAAATCATTTGCATTTTTTGTTTCACTTGGGTTTGGTTGGTTTCTTCTCTAGTTTATTTCCTTTGTGTTTATTTTTCTTCTGGAAAGTATTTTTTTCTCTTTTCTACACTTAATTAAGCTTAGTTTGAAGTTAAATTACTTCTTTCGTTGCGGAGGATCTTTAATTATTTTTCAGTTATGTTAGAGAACCCCAAAATATTTATTATAAATGTAATTTTGAGTCAAACAATTTTTTTAAGGGGGAAATGGGTTTTTTTTATATTATATCTTGAATGAAATTATGAAAATATTTTCTGTAGGAATAAGTCATTGTCCTGTCTATGAATTAATCATCATCGACAGATTTCATAACCATAATGAATAAAACACTGCCTGAAATTAAAGTCAGTAATTCTTACATGCTTTGGACTACAATTTTTCACCACATATTTGGTGAAAACGAAAGTTTTTTTTTTCCTTAATCATTATACATATAAATTCCAACAATTCAACTTCGAAAATCAACTCTTTTTTCCATAGAAATAATATATATGTATATATACATATAAATGAAATAATATATATATAACATAATAAATGAAACAACATGGATGAATGCCCTAGAAACAGAGTAACATGGGCACGCCACACCTACGCCCAAAGTCAATACCCAAAATCACATGTTTTCTAAGAACGAGAGGCCGAAAGGCAAAGGAATCATACGAGAAACTTTTTTTTTTTAAATCTATAAAATCTTTCTACATATTTTCTAAGAAAAAAGGGGTCTTTAATTCTTTCTTTTTCTTATCTTTTTCTTTCTCGATCCCTCTGAGCACATGATCCCAACATTCTAACATCTCCGAGACTAAAACTTATATAAACATGGGGAAAATGAGATTTTTTTGTGTTAAAGATCATTATACTATATGAGAGATTATGTTAATAAAATTCTTCATATAATAAAAGAAAATATTTATCTGAAAAATTTGAGAAATTTGATTATTATCAAAAAAATAAAAATACATGGTGATTTGTTACTTTACACGCATTAATTTAATTTTTAACTCTAATATATGTTATATATTTATAGAGATAATGACTTGACTATAAAATAAACATGCATAATAATAGGTCTACTCAAATTAGATTTCTTACTCTTAATCAACATCTAAACTAATAGAAAAAATATAATCTTGTACGGATTCAATGTGCGCAATAAGAAACCTTTATTGTATTTTTGGATTTTTTTAATAAATTAATAACTTTTATTTATATTAAAAAGAACTTAGACATGGGAGGGTCACTTGACCATCACACTTTGAACTATGGGTCTTATTCGCCCAGTGAGTTTCCAATGTACCAACAATTGCCGTCTCTAGACCTAACAACGTGTTCTATTTGACCCTTTAGTATTGTGTTATTTCGTTATTATTTGTATGGTCTATTGTCGAAGTTAATTTGGAGTGTTTGCTGCATCTGGCTGGCATCACAGCAGGATAATATGGTTTAAAGGATTAATCTAGAGTGAACGTCGTACACCAATGTGACACACCAATACATATTACTAATTAAATTATTTTCATTAAAGAATATATTAATAAGTATAATGACTTAATCACAATTAATCTTTTAATAAATTTTAATTTTAATTCTAATAGAAATATAACTAAATTATGATTTTTATTAAAAATAATAATTAATATAATTTTTTATTTGCTTAGAATCAAAACTGACAATTTATACAATTTTAGGGTTCATCACCAATCGACCGACGACATCCCCTTTCATCGCCGAAAAACCGTTTTCTTCAACAATCATGACTATAAACATGGTCCCCTTTAGTAACTTGACCTTTCATTCTAAACATTTAATCCCTATCCAGCAACTCTAAATTATCAGCATTTGATATAACAACAAGATCAACAGAGTTTAATTCTTTCCTCTTCTCCCGAACTCCAAGGAAAATATTGAATTAAGAACCCCCATTATTAACTTTTGTAGTCCTTTACATTACCTACCTTTCCCTTCCCTTCGAATTCAAGCATTTCAGGCCGACCGCAAAACTATTGTTATTGAAGACTTGTCTTTTAGCTTTTCTGTAATTAATTTGACGTGTAATTAATAACATTCTGTAAAACGTATTAATATTTTTTTAATTACAACAATACTTGAATATCATTACGCAAAACAACAATTTAAAATTATAAAATAGAGTATATTAAAAGTAATTTGTCTTATTTTAAGGCGAGCTCTTAGTTTGTGCCAAGAACACACATTGGAAAAAATCAGTAGACAAGTGAGTTAAAGGAAATATCCTGTCATTTTAAACAAATATAATTGCAGAGGCAGAGAATAACAGAACACCTCCAATAATAGCACTAATGACGGTATCACCTGCCAGTAAGAACTACAAAGTCTTGAATAAACTATTCTTACTGAAGGGAACCATGTTTGTAGCCGTGATTGTTGAAGAAAATGACAAACGCAGCCATCTCCCCACAATCTCTACCCATTAGTCATCATCGCATTAAACGGGCACTACAGGAGAAGCTTGCGCCACCGTCGTTTGATATACCCAAATGCAAGTTGTTTTGTAACTTAAATAAACGCAAAATACAGGAGAAGCTTGCACCAATGACAAACGCAAGTTGTTTGAGGACTTAAATCAACACAAAGTACAATTGTGTAGTGGATCAAATCAACGAAAAATACACAAATGCCCTAATTATTTTATTATCGGACGACGTTGATTAGAATTAGGATTAGTACCGAGGAATTTGACTATTAGGGATTTTATGAATTTAGAGGTTTGGAGTGGCGGTTGATTAGTGGGTGGACGATAACGAGTGGGTGGTCGGTGACTACGGCCGTGGTCGACAATAGAGATGGTAAAGTTAGGGTTGTGATTAGGATTTTAAGATTTTTAGAAATTTGAGTTTTTTTTTGTAAAATAAGAAAGACAGGGTTTTTTCAAAAATATAATAATGCTTTTAATTAAAAAAAATAAAATTGTTAAAATTACTTGAATGCAACACATGTCACTTAATAGAAATTTTAACAGTTGTTATGACCGAAACACTTAAAGTGATAACGTTTATAACGTTAAATACTTGAATAAATAAATAAAAATTTAGACACCACTTTGAAAAAATAGTATAGTTTAAGTACTTATTTTCTAATTAAACCATTTTATATAATAACATAAAATATAATAGCATACAATAAAATAAAAAAGATATTAAGATTTTATCCTATACGACTATACATTTTTAATAGAAAAATTCACATACAGAATAAGGAAATTTACAATAAAATAAAAAGATATTAAGATTTTATCCTATACGACTATACATTTTTAATAGAAAAATTCACATACAAAATAAGAAAAATTTCACTAAGATCACATAAGGATTCGAGGGTTTGGACACTTGGAGGTTAAGTTTGAGTGTTCGTTCAAAAATTTAAATAATAAAAAAACTTAAAAATAAACAATATAATTTAAAACTAGTCTTATTAAATTATCGTTCGGGAAGATTAGAGTATTGAAATTTTAAACCTAGATTGATTTTTATTGATGAGTTTTTATCACAAATAGAAGTCAATGATGAGAGGACGATGATAAAAAATAACAACTAAAATAGTTACATTGAACGAAACGATAGTTTAATATCTAAAAAATGTTTTAAAATTTAGAGAAAAATCAATATACAAACTAAATTTCATGGGAAAGAAGATGACCACACCATCATACTATTAAAGATTTAACGACTTAATAATATAATTAAAATCAAAAGAAATTTTCATGTTAAAATTAAAATATTTGAAAATACAATGATAAAATAGATACAAAACCAAGGTTCAACGGTATTTGATGTGATTTAACCAAAGTTGAAATTGAAACCCCTTTAGATTAGGAATAGGAAGGCCCTTTATAAAACCACCACTTAACAGTTAACACCGTCCCTTTCCTCGAAAACCTGCAAAAACATAGTAAAACAATGGCTACATTTTCCAGTCGCAGCTATTATTTCTCTTCTAACCTCCGAATCTTCATCTTCCTCTTCCTTACAGCACAATCCATTTCATCTTTTTCCCATCAAGCCGTCCATAACAACCCCAGCTTTGATCCCCACATTTCCCTCTTCGGTGATGCAATGATTGCTGATGGAAACTCTAAAGTGAAGCTCACGCGCTTTCACGCGCCAAGTTCTGGTCTTTTACTGTTGGACAAGCCCTTCAAGCCCGCATTGGCGAGGAATGTGGGTCAGCCGACGTCGTTTTCAACTAAGTTTTCATTTTCCATAGCTCCTGGTAATTGTGACGGTTTAGCTTTTGTTCTTATTCCTAATGGTTTTCACACAAGATTTCAGGTTCAAGGACCTTTTGGTCTTTCTGGTGAAAATACGTTTCTGGGTGTTGAATTTGATACAAAGGGAGATTATAAAGCTGGGAACTTTAATAACGTACGACTTGATATCCATGGTCTTGAATCTGTTAAGGTTAGCAATTTGTCATCTCTGAATTTAATGTTGAACAATGGGGATGTGTTGAAATCTTGGGTTGATTATGATTCAAGCTCAAAACTTTTACAAGTTAGATTGAGTAAGCATGATCAAAATAAGCCTGTGAACCCAGTTCTAGCATACCAAATTGATCTGCTAGAAATGTGGGGTGATGAGGATGTTTTTGTTGGCATAATATCAACGACCAATGATGAATCTTCACAGACTAGTAGCAATGTTAATGTTTATTCATGGAGATTTAGGGTAAGAGCCGTTCAGAGTTGGATGCATTCATTGCCTGCTGATCCTAGAGGTTATATGGATAAGGATAGTAAGGAAATTAGAGAAGAAAAGGGGAAGTCTTGTGCTTTGATGATTCTAGCTAGGTTGATCTTCGCTACTGGATGTGGAGCCTTGTTAGCATTCGTGGTGCTGTTTATATGGTCGATTTTCATTAGTAGGCACACAGTGTTCCCTGTCAAGTGTGGACCGGGTCATGAAGATTTCAGGTACAAGGTGGTCAATGGGATTGTAGAGAAGGAAGATCAATGTAATAAAGTTTAGCGGATGGAGTTTATGAAGGTTATGATTTGAATTTCATGTTTTTATTACTGTAGTTATTTGACTAAGTTTTGGATGTCGTTTTTTTGCGTTGCTGTATGTAGCCTGTAATGCAATGCAGTTTGTTTGGCTCTCTTTTCTTTTCTGTAAACACATTCTAAAAATTGCTGTGATTTTTATTTTATTCTTTGAAATGCTTGATACGTTGATTGGACCCCAAGTTGAGTCTTTTATATGCTTCAAGAAATGTCTTGTGCTTGCTTGTAGTCCTTACTAAAGGTATTCTAGCAATTGCATACTGGTTTTGGGATCTTTTTTCATTGGCATCTCAACTTAGTGATCTTTGTTATTTGTACAAAGTTCAACTCTAGATTTAAGGTCTGGGATTGTCTGCAATCTGCATACCCTATCTCTTCTTCTTTCTCATCTCCGATCTTGGAATTCTAGTAACGATTAAACGGAGGATGGCTTCTCTTTCTAATCCTACATCCGAACCATCATCCACCATACAACCGACATTGTTATATCTTCTTTCTCCTCTCTGATCTTGGAGCTGCGGCGATGATTAAGCAGAGGATGCTATATCTTTCTAATCCTCGTCCTAACCATCATCCACCGCATAAATAAACTTTGGTATGTCTGAAGATTGATATCAAATTGGAATTGATTCCAGGATCAAATGATTAATGAACTTTATATGCTTAATGTTCTTTTCCCTTTTATATTTTATACTTGCTTCTCATGCACCCTTAGCATTTCTTTTTGCTTGCTTCACCGGATGATAAGCGAATATATTTGTCAGAATATATAATTGAATATGTCGACGAGAATATAATCCGATTATGCAAAACCCAGCAAACAGGGAGAAACTGCCAGCAGCACCTGTCCCAAATGCTACAAATGTTCAAGCCATAACATTTCCCAGTTCGATAGGATCTCATCACGAAACCAAAAAATCCGTTTTAAGAACTTAATCACTCGATTTTCAAACTGAATGTTTGTTTCCATCTTTCACAGCTTCGTGCAAATTTACTGTTTTCCTGGTTCAACTTCATGAATTCTGCAATTAATGAACAGATTAAGGAAACAATTTTCTAAGAATACCAGGAATGGCGGCAAACAATTAAAAAAATCATAGCAAAAATGAGCCACGCCCGTTTCTGAGATTTTTGTGTTCCTGGGTGAACTAAAAAATTAGACCTTTATTCAGAGGTTTAAATTACAATTTGTATTTGTATATTCAATCGCGTTGTGTTTATCGTTATTTTGAACATAACAGATGATATTGTTGTCACTGCAAGTATCGTGGTTGTGTATTTTTAATAACATATAATATTATGGACATAACGATCGTTGATATCGCAGTTTTGAACGATTTTGTTACCACCGCATGACATATTATTGTGGTTATATACTGTTATTTAAGTAACTGTTCATAATGATAAGTGTTGAAAAAAAAATATTTAAGAATAGCTTCATAATAATAAGTATCGGAAAAAATGAATCTTTAATATTTAAAGAAAAAACAAATTTTAAGAGTATATTCGTAGTAACAGAAATTGAACCTTCAATAAAATGCACCGAAAAAAGTAAAATTTAAGAGTTGGTCGAGTTCGTTGGTGAATTTAATTGCTTTATACATCGATGGAACCTTTAACAAGGCTTGGAAGGCCACTGTTTGCTAATTGTTGTCGGTGTGGGTGAAGTTGATGACCTTGTGTTTCTCCAGAAAAGAAGACATTTGATCTATGCAATAACTTTTCTGCATAAAAATGGTAATAAATTAACACTGAATTCTAAATCTTAAATTTTAAACAAGTCGATATCACTTTTAAGTCTCTCATATAACTAAAAATAAAAACTTTAACCGAAGTCGATAAATTTCCTATCTATGCTCGAAATTAATTATTCGTTAGTGGGTTATCTTTCATACTTCAGCCAATTTGGACAGTTTATTATCCGGATAAAACCAAAATGTTTATCCAAATTGAACCTTTTTTTTTATTATTCAATCAATGATTAAAATAAATATAGTCAATCATTTCAAAAGAAAATTTTCAGATGATTTTTTTTTTATAAAGAAAATGGATAAAGGAGTTCGTTTAATTAAATATTTGTAACGAAAACTGGGCTAAACTACTGAGCCGGGCTAGCTTACCGACCCTTGGACTGGTGTTGAAAATTTACTAGAAAGAACAAAGCCCAAAAGAGATGTCCAAATTGCCCAAGAAAGAACAAAGCCACTTTATATAAATTTCTCAAAACCTAATAAGGGTTTATGTCTCTCTTGCAGACGCCAGGGAGAGTAAGGTACCCTTCGATCTCTTCAATTTCATCTTTTAAAAGTCTTAACCTGTACCAATTCCCCATTTTAATATATGGAATACAGTTTTTAGATTTTACGTGCTCTTATCTGTCTTCGTTTTCTTTGATTTTGATTAATGCAGACTATGTACGAGGAACCATCTTGGGTTACAATAGGTAACAAAAAAAATCAACCTTCTTTTTTTTGGTGGGTGGGAGATTAGATTAATTTATCGAAGGGGGATTCAATTTTAGTTAAATTAGTTAATTCACTTTCTAAAGCTTGGTTTTTTAAATGTTGAACTGAGTGGAAGAACTTGATATTGACACTGGAGTTCCTTTTGTTTTGTTTGTGTGATTTGTTTGTGTTTTGGTGCTAGGTCCAAGTCGAACCAGTATCCATACACTTCTTTGATCCAGATTGACGGGGTTAACACCAAGGAGGAAGTAGCTTCGTATGCTGGCAAGCGTATGGCTTATATCTACAAGGCTAAAGTGAAGAAGAATGGCTCACACTATCGCTGCTTTTGATTTTACATGTATATTTCGTTTCCTTTGCAGGGAGATAGAGTCAGAGTCTTCATGTACCCTAGCAGTATACGAAGTATTCTTCATTTTCCCAGTTTATGATATTTTTATACTTGTTTTCTGAGCTCATGTTTGCTGTTTGGTTTTAATTGAATCTGTCAAACCCGAATGGACCAAACTGGAATATTGAAAATGTGAATTGTCTCAACCTATCCAGTTTGCTGCTCTACTAATTTTCTTGGTTGTTGTAGCTTTATGTTGTTTTCGTTTCGTTGCAACCTTGGTCATTATCAACTTTTGTGATCTTTTAGTCTGGTTCTTGATGTTGATGTTGATCTTTTCGTGACGTTGTATATATATATATATATATATTTGGAAAATGCATACCCCACTTGCAATGATAACCCCAGTGACAACGGGAATAAGGGTGCTATACGTAAGCCAAGCATCCCTCTTCAATGTTATATGGAAATGGGTTTTGTTTTATTTTGTTGGTTTGCCTGCTAATTTTTTTGGTTTTATATTTTTATTGGTTAATGGAGATTGTGGCTTTTATTTATTTATTTTTATAGTGAATTTATGAAGGATTTGTTCCTCTTATGCAAGATTTAACATTAGATATATTTTTTATGTTCTGTTTTTAGCTGAATTTTGAGGTTTATAAACGATACCGTTTGCATTTGTTGATTTTCTTCTTCTTGGTTTCAAATGGATGATCAAAACAACTATGATATGAAAACCCTGTTACTGTTATGATTCATCAATGCTTCCCTCTGATGAATCTTTCCTTCTTTTTCCTAGCGTTTCTCATTCTGTATGTCTCGGTTGTTGCATTTACAAGTTTGGTCTGCAGTTCTTCTCCCTATTTGATTTCAAAACCTTCAAATTTCTTTATTCGAAATTTCCATTCTGTCTTATTTACGTTGTCTTATCGTTTATTTAACCAATCTGCTTTTTAATTGTTTATGTGGCAACAGGGTGAAACGAGTTTTCATCTATTTGGTATTATCATGTGCGTTTCAGCTACAGCTGCAAGAGCTCTCAAGTCGGTTTTACAAGAAGGGTGAGGAATGTTTTAGTCCTATGCTTCTGCATTGTGGCTGATGGCATAATTTTTGTATATTTCCAATTCGATTTGAGATTCGAAACGTATACTGAAATTTTTTTGCCACTTTATTTTAGAGAGAAACTAAATTCAATGAACCTCCTCCTCTACATGGCTCCCATAATTGTTGTGTTTCTACTTCCCACAACTCTCATTATGGAAGAAAATGTGGCCGTACCACCCTTGCGCTTGACCGAGATGATGTCAAGATCATTCTCTTGTTAAATTCAGCAGTAGCATATTTTGTGAATTTGACCAACTTTTTGGTCACGAAACACACCGATGCGCTCACTTTACAGGTATGACATGCGTTATCCTTGTTACCATCTTTTTTCTCAGCATCATTTCCCACTGGTGTTCAGGCTTTATGGAATTTGCTATGTTTATTTTGTTTCTTTTTTTCATAAAGAAAACAAGGTGTAGAGGATGTGCTGTTAAATTTCTTATGTGGTATATGACATTAAAATCAAATGATTACACTTATTAAGGAATATTAAACAAGAAAGTGATTCACCGAAACTTTGAACTCAAAACCCTAACTTACCATATAATGATTAGATTAACTTCAGCTTTTTGAGAAACTGTGATATTTGCACTTGCAGGTTCTAGGAAATGCAAAAGGAGCCGTAGCTGTGGTGGTTTCTATTTTAATTTTCAGAAACCCAGTTTCTGTTACTGGAATGCTTGGTTATACACTCACAGTCTTTGGGGTTATACTTTATGCTGAAGCCAATAAACAAAGTAGTAAATGAGACATCATCCTGCGGACACGATATGCATGTGACCGTTCGTTCATATATTGTGTTTATTTTATTGAAAGGACACAGCAACATCGAAATAGGCAAGTAAGGGCCATGTTAGATTCATTTTCTGTCCCCTGGAAGCCTAGGAAACATTGTCTTTCTTTTGTGTATCAGAACCGACTGCAGGATTGGTAAGAACTATAGAGAACTCCAATAATTGACTGGTTGGTATTTCTATTATTCCCAGCTTGGGGTCGTAGATGAAAATGTCATTTAAATGTTTTTCATTCTTCAAGACAAAGGTAGCAGATTTGTTCTTTACCCGATCAATCTGTTATTTACATTTCTAATATTGATTTAATGGAGAAAAAGTTCACTAAGTTTACCGTTTTTTTGTTTAATGCGTTATAATAGTGTATATATATATGCTTGCAGTTATGGATGCATGTATGCATATGTATATATCAACGTATGTAGGTATGATGTGAACAATTCTACACATCGACACTTATATAGGCTAGTATTTACGGTTAGTTGTGCCTTTGTATATATAGGTGTAGGTATGATATATGAATGTATGCATGTGATTGTGTGGCATGATAGACCATTTCATTTTTCAGAATAATAGATTCATTGGACACTGAGAATTATAAGAATCCAAAATTTCCTTGATCCTTGTTAAATTTCTAGTTAAAGGTAGGCAACGGTTGTTTTTACAACTTGAGGAATGCAGAATAAACCCGATCCCATAAGATAAATCAAATATCACAAATATATACGCTGATGAACCAGCGGAACCGAAACTAAAATGCATATTTGGAACGCAGATTTTTGTTTTATTCCGGTTCTCCCGTAAATTAAAATCAAACACACCGGCAATAAATTAAAATCAAACACACCGGCAATCACGACGAAAGGAAAACACGAAAGCGATATGGATACTAGCGAATGTATTTAAGCTTCGGGAACAGGGGCAGCCGAGCGTTTAATAGATGCAGATTTGATGAGGTGATTGTAGCTTCCTTTCTCCTTGAAAAGTTGGGAGAAGTGATGCTTGCAATACAAGATACCCTCTAGTGCTGCATAATTTGATGGAGTTATTGGGCAACCACCATGAGAGCACTTGAAACATGTCTTGTGGTACGACTGCCCTTCTACCGTTACCTGACAAAATATCGGACAAAAAACCCCACATTTTATTACAAATACATATATGGATGTATCAACTATGAAGCATTTCAAACAATGTAATAAGCAGATATAGGTCAAAAAACATGTTATTAGTTTTTAGCATTGAAATATATGAGACAAGTTTTATGACCTCTTCTTGAAACCATACTTTGACTCGAATATGGTATGTTTCTCTAACTCCATGTTTGAAAATTTGTAGGGCATGAGTATTTCGAGAAAAATAAAGAGTTGACGCAACACCAACTTCGATGAGGAAAGTACTCCTTTGTAGCTAATCTAAACCACTCAGAGTTCTTCCAAGCTCCAAGTTGGTTCAAAGGAGCAAAGATTAATTCTAACTGGATGAAGATGCTCATCTTATGCGAGCAATTTGATTATTTCAAATGGAACTTGGACAACTCTAAATCTAATTACACCTAAAGACGTGCCCCTTTTCAATGACAATATCAACCTAATAGTGAAAAACCATCACGCAGAAGGAAAACCAAGCTGATCATAAAGAAACTGTTATAGGGTTTACACCACTCAAGATTTCATCAGTTCGGGAAAGAGCAAAACCGAGGAGTGGGCCTCATAAAGATTCAGATGAATGTGATAGGGTCACACGGACTGATTGGGAGTACAAGTTCGTATTAAGAAGAGGGCATAGACAACCAAAAAATTGAAGCCCGACAATTGCAGAAAAGATATACAGTTCTCATCCAATGACATATTGGGATCTAGAATTTTACCTTCTCAAGTGGATAAGCAGTTTTGCCACACGTGGCACATTTTTCTTGTGTCCCGGAAAACATGCTGGCAGCTTTGCTAGGTGATCTTGTCTGAAATCAACACAAGCTATTAGGAGTTAGCAAGAAATTTAGTAACCTAACATCCTAAGCTAATATCAAACTCTATAATGAACTTGTCCCATTTAATCGAAACATTTACCAGCTCCGGAGTTAACTTCTCAGCTGACTTGGCAGCTGCTGACAGCAAAATTGAAGGCAAATTAAAAACCAGGACGGAAAGTATCAAGAAACCAAATATAGGACACTATCCACTAAGAGAACGATACATACGTGAATGGAAATTCTTGTTGAAATTCCCCGACTCTTTGAAGAGTTGCTCAAAATGAGGCTTGCAATAAACGACACCTTCCATTGAGGAGTAATTACCCAACTGGAAATTAATAACACAAAAGCTGCTAAGTTAGATGCAGAAACACCTTTACATAAATCAACAAAGATTCAAACAAAAACTGTAATAAGAATGGTGTCCAAGTTACTTCTTCGCCCACCATTTGATTACACATTCGACACAAGATCAAGTGAATTAACCGGTGAACAAAGTAAAAGGGCTTTGAACTTCAACAAAAATGAAGTAAATGGCAGTAGATAACTTCATATATTTTCATCTGAATCAACAAATGAGCAGAGAAGGATGGAAAGCAATTAAAAGACAATACCTTTAATGTCCCTTTGCAATGGCTGCACTTGAAGCAAGACTTATGGTAAGGAATCCCATCGGCCGACAAAAGTTCGACCGGATAAACGGTCTTCTCACAAGCCTTGCATTTTTGCTGGGTACCGATAAAAGACATCGCTAGAATTTAATGTGGATTGAACCGAACTATTTTTTTTATCTGATTCAGTGGATCCGCTTGAATTCGATTTCCTTTATATTTGCCAATGTTATCCGCACAAAGATGTTCAAACAAACAATTCAGAATCAAATTTATGTCAAACTCAACGAGATTAGCCTCAACATTTTGGAACTTTGAAACACTACTATTCTTTATCTAATTTTAGGGATCAGCTTGAATTCGACTTCACTTAGATTTTCTAATATTAACTGCTCAAAGATGTTAAAATGCACAATTTAGAATCAAATTCAACGAAATTAGCTCTAAAATTTTGGGGATTTGAAACAGTTTATTCATCATTAATGATGGTCTAAAGAAAACATAAATACAATCAATTGAACCATTATCGGCTACCTAAACTAAGCAAGGTTGAACATTTTGTACTCTTTTCGTTTAGCATAAAACCAACAGAAACAAGACTCCTGAATCTGGGACTTAAAATGAATCATAAACAAAACAAAAATCCCATGCAAAATCTAGCTAGCTGATCTAATCTGAAAAAACATATTACCATAAAAAAAGAACCCAACACAGAATGATCAAACAATATATATTAACAACTTCAAGCAAAACTGAGTAAGAAATTTCAACTTAAAAAGGTAATTATAAAATGTACCTAGGAACAAGACCTCCCTGGATCTATGAAAAAGAAGAACTCAAGAAAAAGTGAGACCTTTTTGAAAGAGGCTTCTGGGGTATTTATGAAACGAAAGAGAGAGACCGAGGTAAAAGATGAAAAATAATAAATAAAACAAAGAAGGGAATTGGGTAGTTTTTTGCAGCGAGCAGGTGCTGTTGAAGAGAATGATGATGATGATAATTGATCGTTGCAGCTGAAGATACAGAGAAATTATTCGGATTTATTTTTTTTTAAGAATTATGAAAAAAAAACAATAGTATAACTTTGTTCGAAAGCAAGGTGGCGGCTTTATCTTGTCCTTATTTCGACCAACTCCAACCAAAATGGGTCAAATTGACAACTCTGACCCTTGTTGTAAATTAAACGTAAAAACTGCTTTAGCTATACGCGAGTTTCATGTTATATCATATACAATTTGTAAGTGCATTTCATGTTATAAGGATTACATGGATAATTCACAATTTGAAATATTTTATCATTTTTTTGTGTGTATTTATTTCTTCATGTTTTAATAATGTAAAATTTTAAATAATTAATTGTCATCTGTTTAGAATCCCGGAATACATGTGATTATCCCGGGGGGGGGGGATTAGTGTATTTTAGATTCGATTTATTGTCAAATTTAAAGTAATTTTATTTTGAATAATTCCAAATCATTTTTTGTTTTTGTTTATCACAGTAGGTTGTATAAAATTAAGTGAAATAAACTATAATTTTGGATTAATTTATGATAGATTAACGGATTCTTTCTCTTGAAGAAATGATATTTGAAATTTTTTTTATATTACAAAGTACTTTTATTAATAGAAAATATGTATAAGATTTTTTTAATATTAAATAATATGAATAATTTTTTATTCAAGATAAACCACTTATTTTTTTATCACTGCATAGTTATTTTTAATTTTATAAAATTTATCATGATCTTTTATTCAAATATTTATACAATAACATATGATTTAAATAAATGAGAATATAATAATCATATTATTTGTTCTTTTTTTTTCTATTACCGATTTCCATTTAATTTACAACAACAAAAATAATTTTAAGTTCTGGAAATGATATGCAAAAATAAAATGTTAAAAGATTAAATATTGCTTATTGGTGATGTTTTTATTAAAAAGGGTAAGCAATAAACTATCAATTTTGGTTTGTTTTAGTACTTAAACTTTTAAGTTTTTCAAAACCATGTTTAACGTTTAGTTTTCATTTTATTTTAGTACCCCACCGTTAAAAACTTAACGCGTTTAGTACATAAATTATTATTTTTGATCCTTTTTAATATCTAAATTTTCATTCTTTTTCCAAACTTAAGGTTAAATTTTAAACGGGGTACTAAAATAAAAAAAATCTACAGTTTTTAACAATGAGTACTAGAATAAAACAAAAGAAGCTTTAGGTATAATTTTGAAAAAATTAAAAATTTAGATACTAAAACAGATCAAAACTGATAGTTTAATTATTAATGGTGTAATTTACCCAAAAACAATTTGTATTGAGATGATAAAGAGTGTTGCGTTTTAGGTTTCATCTATAGCCATGGGTCCGCTGCACTGCGGCTGTCCCGGCCACAGACGGAGCCGGAGCCGGAGCCGGAGCCGACGCCGACGCCTACGAATGGGATGATTTGATTGATTATTCATACAAGGGAGAGTGGGTTTGGGATGCCATTGTCCACGCTATCAGATATTTTAGACACCTTCCCTTTTGTTACCGGAAATCACGATCCCATTCAAAATTTTCTTTTTAATTAAAGTATCTTATCTTTCTTTCTTTTCACCAATCACTTAATAGTTGAAAATTTCAACGGAGGGATTATTTTGTTCTCGTTGGAAATATAGAGGGACTAATTTTGGTGTAAAATGTTACCCGAAAGTCCTCTTTCATAACCAAAACCAAAACCCGAATATTAATATAGGAGGTGAATAGATTTGGTATGGAACCCGTGGAAGATATAAAAATATATCTCTTGCGTTTAAAGGAGGAACGCTATGAATCAATTTCTATGTCAATTTCTACATAGTTTATCCCGTTATAAAACATATGATTAAGAGAAAATTTTCCAATGCTTGACCAAAATTATAATTATAATAATTTTAGTAATTTTTTTATTACAATTTTATAAAAACAAATTCAAACATTTATTTCAACTATATTATCTATGTGTGTACAATAAATTTGTGCATATACTTCTTTCAATATTTAATTGTCAAATTAAGTTAAATTAATTCCATATTAATTTGATTCATGTGAAACACAATACTAATTGTATTTGGATTTCACTCGTTTCAATCATTAGGTGTCATCCTATAAGTTCTTCGTAGTGTTAATAATAATATTATAAGAATTATAAAATTACAAACAATGAGTGAGATTTAGTAATGAAATATTTTTTTCTAAGTTATGATTGAAATATAACAATGAGTGAGATCTAATATAATAAAAAATCACGATTCAACTTAATCTCTATGTGATTAACTTTTCGTGTGTTATATCTTTTCGTCCTTTATATTTAAATTGGACATAATTAATGAGACAATTAGGCTTATATAATTAATCTCATGTTTCTTGATATATCAAGTAAATTAAAATAAACAAACGAGTGTAACATCTCGTATCAATTTATTTGAACATGATCATGCATTTTTAGTCTCAATCAAATTATCAAAGATATTGCTTTCATCATGTAGGAGAGACAAATCTTAATTGATATCACACCATATAGATTGTGGTATATTCAACATCAATTTTTATAATACAACCAACTATGATAGACATTTGACAATATCAAAATAACGACTTATGATATTAGAATAATGATAATCTAAAGTCATAAGATCATATACATAGCTACTCTTATATTGATTCTGACATTTATGACTATATATCAATGATAATACTTTGTCATCGATTAACTACATATTAATTTCAGTGTATTAGTATTATCCAATCCTACAATAATACTTAACTAAGAAGGTTTTAATAGTAATCCTATTTTTCTTAAGACTGAATTATAGATTAATTTATTTTTATACACAGAAAAAGTAATCAAATACTTTATTTTAATAAACAAGGTGAATAAACATATTATTACAAGCTCTCATGATTAGTATTTAGACATACTCTTAAGACACTTACCTTATCCTGTGATAATTCTTTCTTGCAACAACTAATGATGGAGTTTAGGGGTGGATGCATATGGCCACATAGGGGACCAAATGCACACCCATTATTTTAGATTAGATATTCAATATAGTTCAATATATTAAAAGAAGAAGAAAAAAATAAGAAATTTTGCATACCCATTATATTGAAAAGAAGACTGTAGACACCCGTTTTTGTCCGGGTCTTTTTTTGTTAAATATTTATTATTATAGTTATTATTATTATGTTTATGTATTTTTTATTATTAATTTACATGTTACATATTTTGTAGGCCAAACAATGACCAGAAACCCAACAGTAATTACAAGGCCCAACCTAGGCTTAACCCGAGCCCATCATATGATAACCCAACAAAATTAGGGTTTCAAAACCCTAAATCATCAGCTCAGCCACCGCTTGCCATTGATGTTGCCGCTGTCGTTCTTCCCTGCATCAACAGTGACTCACAAATCCATCAACAATGACTCACCAATCCATCAAACAGTGACCCAGATCCTATCCAAGTAAAAAAAATCAAAAGATTATTATCCTAAAAATATAGGATATTATTACCTATTTGGAGGACTCAAATCCATCAGCAGGAATCATATATCAACATATGCATCAATAAAAAGGAAAAAAAAACATGGAGAAAAGAGGGAGAACTATTCGAGTTTTGAGAGAAGAAAGGAAGAGAGAACAAAACATAAAATACAGTGAGAGAGGGGGAACCATTCGGACCCCAAATAAAAAAACAAAAAAACTAAAAAAAGGAGAGAGAAGGAAGAGATTTACCCTTAACCGATCCGGCCACAGCTGCTTCATCGGAGCGGTTGGACTCTATTTTAGGAGGTAAGGTTCTTATCTTTGGGGCTTAGGGTTTTTAAGATTTGGTTGTGGGGAAGAGGGTCTAGTTTTTTTAGGTTGGTTTTTTAGATGAGGATGTGTGGTGTGTGAAACACCATGGCCACCGATCTAAAGTGGCCGGGGTTGTGTGTTCTTCATCGGTGAGAAGAGAAGAAAAGGAGAAGAGGAAACAGGAAGAACAGTTTGGGAGGAAGAGAGTTCTCTCCTCTTTGGTTTTGGGATACGGCTGAGAATGAGAAAAACAAGGGTTTCGAAACCCTTATTTTGGGTTATAATGGACCCAAAACGACGCCGTTTAAAGGGGTCAGGGTATGCGTGTTTCAGCATAAAAGGGTAAATAGTCCATCTGGTCCTTACATCTTTGTATCATTCTTCCCGTGTTTCTCATATTAAAAGGGGTAAACTACACTGTAGGTCCTTGATCCTTGTAATCTCACGATTTAGCCATGGAATGAAGTTTACATTATTTCAAATTGAGCCTTTATCTTTTCACTTTTATATTTTTAGTCACTATCGTAGGTATTATAACATTTTTTGTTTATATTTGGTTCTGGTTTCAATATTTATAAATGTTACATCTTAGCCACTGATTTAATATTTCGTGTATGTTTCTTTGATATTCGAATCTGGCCATCACATTTATAAATATTTTATTTTAGTCCTTGTTTTACATTTTGGTTTAATTATTATTCAGTCTTCATGTTTCTGTTTCAATTTCAATCTAGTCCTAAGTATTATTTATGGCTTATTCACATTTCTGATGTTTGTATTAGTTGTTGTTTGCGATTTGGGCCCTGTTTATTTTGTAATTACTTTTTAGCCCTGTTAGTTTCTGCTTTTACTAATTTAATCCATTATGTTTAGGTATTTCTATTTTAGTCCTATTAATGTATGTTATGTCATTTTTGTGGATATTTGACTTTGGTCCCAATGTTTGTAATAGTTTCGTTTTAGTCCCGGGTTTTATATGTTAGGTATTTTGGTGGATGTTCGAATTTATCCCTAACATTTGTGAATATTTTATTTTAGTCATTTATGTATGATTTTATTGTACTTGTTATTCGATTATTTGTATTG